GTGAAATTGATTAGAACTGAAAGTCTATAAAATATTCAATTAAAAATTTTTTTTTTTAGATTGTTATTGCTACACCTGGCCGATTGATAGATGTTTTAGAAAATCGATATCTTGTGTTGAATCAGTGCACTTATATCGTATTAGACGAAGCCGATAGAATGATAGACATGGGTTTTGAACCAGGTACTTTAAAGATTTATAACAAGCTGTGTTTTATAATTTAAAAAAAATTAAAATTTGCTTATTTGATTTATTAACCTTCTTACTTCTTTCAAAAGACATTGTATTTTTTCATCATTTGTATTGTATAATTCATAAAATTGTACTTTTCGAGTATTATATTAATTGGACAAATTTTACATTATTTACTATTTTTTTTATAGAAGAGTTGTTATACAATATATTATATACGCGCGCATGCATCAGATATAAAATATTTTAAAAAACAATGAATTCTTTTAGATGTTCAGAAAATTCTGGAATATATGCCTGTCACAAATTTGAAACCGGATAATGAGGACGCAGAAAATGAGGAAAAGCTTTTGGCCAACTACAATACAAAGAAGAAATACAGACAAGTACGAGAAGTTTTTAAATTTGTTATACTTGTTTAGTAGTTTTTATTCATTAGATCAGAGCTTCCCAAAGTTGTGTGAATTTTTTATGAATATATTTTATGAATATATATTTTTTATGACTTAAAAGAATCTAGCTCTAATAAATATGAAAAAAGAGAGAGAAGAATAAATTATTTGTTACTCTTTCTATTTAGTAATCTTTATTGAATATAATTTTGTAAATTTATTTCTCAATAAAATAAAATATGTATTTGAAATGGAAGTGATTCGCGATCAAGTAAATTCAATATTTTGCATCTGGTATTTCTAAAATGATCACCCTTCTTTTAAAAAAATCTTACGATTTTGTCATTTGTATTTTATGTTTACTAAGAATCAAAGGGCGATTGAGATTATATGATTAATTTGTTATTGATAATTAATGATTACTTTTGACTTCTAGACGGTGATGTTCACCGCCACAATGCCACCGGCTGTGGAACGACTCGCTAGGACTTATCTGAGGAGGCCAGCTGTAGTGTATATTGGCAGCGTCGGTAAACCGACAGAACGCACTGAACAGATAGTTCATATAATGGGTGAAGCTGACAAACGAAAGAAACTTATGGAGATACTCAGTAGAGGTGTCGAGCCGCCTGTTATCATATTTGTCAATCAAAAGAAGGGTGCGGACGTTTTAGCAAGAGGCTTGGAAAAATTAGGAGTATGTAACTTAAATTTGAAAGTGATAAATACAATTATTTGTAAATTCACACTGAATAGCGTAGCTCAGTAATTTTTTAATATGATTGGTCCTTACCTTTAATTGGTTCTTAACTAAAGATCTAAATGTAAAAATCCATACAAAATATCACTGAATATTCGCCGAGTTGTTTTGTCTGCTGAACACTGTCATTGTGACGAATCTTATTCCAATTTTGTAGCATTTAATTCGTCGAATATGAAATTTTTCATGATGAGATTATTCGGGATTGCAAAAATGTAGAAACTGTAAAATAAGATCTAAAGATCTAATAGGTTTTTTCCTTTATTCTATTCTAGTATAACGCTTGTACTCTACACGGTGGTAAAGGCCAGGAACAGCGAGAATATGCTCTGGCATCTCTGAAAAGCGGAAGCAAGGATATCCTGGTGGCCACTGACGTTGCAGGACGAGGTATCGATATTAAGGATGTATCGATGGTAATTAATTATGATATGGCTAAAACCATTGAGGGTAAGTTACATGATTCATTATCATTTCTTCGTATAATTATTAGGGCCCGAACATTTGTTCACGATCCCAACATTGATGCGCGCGCGGAAAACTTACGTGCTTTATATTGAATAAACCATATACGGCCAAAATATTCTTATTTTTTTAAAAAAGAGCCCCTTGGCTTTTCGATCCTTCTCAAGACAGTCATAATTATTAGCTGATCAGTCAAAACCTCTCGGGGATCAGAGATTTGCTCCTTTTCTTCTTAGGAAATATGTTAAATTCAATTAAATTAATCTGGAGTCAACTGGTTATTCTTGCATCATGAAGTCAGAAACTCCGAAAGCCGAAATGTTGCTATCACTTTAGCAAACATTCGACCTACTTACGCGCGTAGCAGTTCTCCGCGCACACTCTGTGATACAAACATGTGTACACAAACATTCGTACCTTAATAATTATTAATGTTGGGATCGCTGAAGTATTTAATTTTTTCAGCAAGAATTAAAAATCAAAATCATAATTTATTTTTAAAAAGTTGGCAGAAACGTAATTTCTCAATAAAGATGAAAGTTTTCTTAATGAACAATTAACTATGATTTATTATTTTATTTATTCGTATTAAAATTAAAAACTATAAAGGCTCAGCGAACTAAACTCAATTCAATACAATTCGTATAAGGACTAAATAAATCAAGCACATTGTGCAATAAAAAATATATTACAAATTATCAAAATCTTCCAAACGTTTCTTTACTGAACCATCTTCAGTGAATGCATTTATATTCAATGTGTTTTTACAATATTTCGTCTATTCCGCATCGTAGATTACATAAAATTTGTTGCAACAATTTCAAGCCAGAATGCATTAGGAATGGTGATTCTTTCCAAGTTGAGTGAATATTCTATATTGCAGTGATGATTCTTTTCAAATCGAATGAACATTCTATTGCAATTTTGGCTATATGGATATGGAATACAGAGGAATTAAAACAATGGAAAAGATTTAAACTTTTAATTCTTTACTTTCAAATTTTTTATAATTGCCGAACCGATAGGACGAAGGTTTATATGTCGACAGATTATTTGACAAATTCGGAATGACATAAAGGTAATGGAAAAGACAAGACAAGAAAGGACAACAAATTTAAAGAATTGAGAGTGTTAGATCTAATATCGATACAGATGTCTTTTTATTTGAGATACGTTTATGACATTTTTTTGGCCGCGCCAATGGACTCGCTTGACGATATTTTAAGAACTTTCAATGCGTTACACGAAAGATTACATTTCACTATGGAGGTGAGAGCAATAGGTTAAATTTTCTTGACGTTATTGCTATTTTAAATGATAAGAAACTATCCTTTGATTTATATAAAAAAAACCTACGGTTTCCGGCAAATATTTGAATTTTTGCTCTCATCACCTTTTATCACATAAAAGAGGAGTGGTGTATGACATCGTGGAGAGAGATAAGATAATTCTTCTGTCTGATCCATTCTTCCACATGAAAAATCTCATAGAAGCAATAAATTTGTTGATTGATAATTGTTATCCGTTATCCTTTATATTTCCGACAATTAGATGTAGACTTAAATATTTATTTTATAAAAAAAGTAGCGATTAAATAACAAATCTAATAAGAAACATATAGTTAAAGAAAAACGATTTCCTTTTATAAAGAACATCTAAGAGAAATTTTCAGTTATTACTAAAAAATATAATATTGAAATCGGCTTTTCAATTCCGAATACAAAAAATTTTAAATTAATAATTTAAAATTAAAAAATTTTTTCAAAACTGGAAAAGACTCAGTTGAAATTATATTTCACAGCGATTTCGTTTATAAAATTTTTTTGTCAGGATTGTCAATGCTACATCGGCCAAACTAAACGAAACTGAAGACACGAGTCAATGAGCATAATTCTGACATAAAGAAATGTGGCTCAGTGATTTCTATGCATAGGATAAATAATAACCATGATTTTGACTGGAAGGAAGTTCAGATTTTGGATAGTGAAAAACATTACAATAAAAGATTAATCTCCGAGATGATCCATATAATTAAACGAAAAAATGGATTGAACAAACAAAATGATGACTGAATTTCTTTCAGAAGTATATATTCCTATTATAGATGTATTATCCAATAAGTGACAGTATGTTCGGCCTGATTGGTTCACCTTCTCTTTAAATTCGTTGTCCTATCTTGTCTTGTCTTTTCCATTATCTTTATGTCATTCCGAATTTGTCAAACAATCTGTCGACATGTAAACGTCCTGTCGGTTCGGCAATTATAAAAAATTTGAAAGTAAAGAATTAGTTTAAATCTTTTCCATCATTTTAATTCCTCTGTATTCCATATCCATACAACCAATACTATCAGAATTGCAATAGAATGTTCACTCGATTTGAAAAGAATCATCATTGCAATAGAATGTTCACTCGACTTGGAAAGAATCATCACTCCTGCGTTCTGGCTTGAAGTTGGTGCAACAAATTTTATGTAATCTACGATACGGCATAGACGAAATATTGTAAAAACACAATGAATGTAAGTGTTATATCCGCTGAAGACGGTTCATAAAGAACCGAAATTTGAAAGATTTTGATAATTTGTAATAATATATTTTTTATTGCACAATGTGCTTGGCTCATTTAACCCTTATACGTATTTATTTGTATTCTTATTTATTTATTACTTTTTACAGATTACACGCATAGAATTGGTCGAACTGGTCGCGCAGGCAAAGCTGGTCTTGCTATTTCTTTTTGCACGAAAGATGATAGCCATTTGTTTTATGATCTTAAACAAACGATACTCGCTAGTCCAATATCTACCTGTCCGCCGGAACTACTTAATCATCCAGATGCTCAACATAAACCGGGGACAGTAGTCACGAAGAAACGACGAGAAGAGAAGATCTTTGCTTAATCCCTCTTCGTGACAGGTACTTGTGCATTCATAATTTAACATCTTAGATAAGGGAGGGAGGGGAAGGAGAGGGGAAGAGAGAGAAAGAGAGAGAGAGAGAGAGAAATTTTTTGTTTGAGCCTGAAGAGATGAGAATTTAAGGATTTTACTATGTCTCATAAATTAATAATAAATTGGATTTCCAAAAAAATAAAAGTGATTTATCAATTATGTAAATAATATATTTACAATATGTATACAATAAAATTATTTGAATTATAATATGACTAGTATATAATAATTTCTATAATTATGGAGGTGGCGCTGATGGAGGTGTATAATTATCATTGACCTTGCACTCTTCCTCCCAATTATTTGGTATTACTGGCTTCATGATCTCCATGAACTTGTCAAGAGGACATACAATGTTGCATCCAGGTATTGTCATCGGATACGGATCGTGAGCTGTCGTATTTCTTAGAAATATCTGCAGCAGGGACATTTTCATTATTCAAGAATGCTAAGAATTATTATTAACCAAATCAAATGAAATTCGAGATACTATCAGAAAAAAAATCACAAATATTAAAATTTTCAGAGAATTTGCACATTTATATTAAAATTTTCAGAGAATTTGCACATTTTCTATTACTATTGTATGAATCTGTTTAAAAAAAACTATCAGTGTCTGAAAAATAACCAAGACTTAATACTTTCAAATTCTTTTCATTTTAAATAATTCTGAAGTATTTAGAAATTCTGACTGAATTGTTTTGGAAAATTAATACTTACCTGAATGTTCCATTCACCTTCGTCCTCGTGTAGCTCTATCATCGTCATGATGTTATAGTAGGGCATTTGATTATGCCAAATGTGCATGGTGTCTAGCAGGGTGACGATAGTGCTATCGTGACCTATATACATAAACATTTTTCTTTCTTTGGGCTGTAGAGTACCTCTCCTTTTCGCTAACATATCATTAGTGAATTTCTTCAGCATGGGGCCACCCTTTAGTCTGCGGAAGTCATCGCGATATGTATTAAGTTGTAGCTCAAATAAAGTCAAAGATATTAATTTATCAGGGTAATAATTCTTTATCCATTCTGGCAAAGTCAAATTCATGTGTTCCTGTAACATTTTGGATAATTAAAATTTGATTTTTTTTTATTGAAAAACTGAGTTACACATATGTAACTTTACTTCGTTTCAATGAATAGTTCTGGCATATATCAGTTATTTAAAAAAGATTAGATAGTCTACCTCAGCTGATAACGTAGCATAAAGTGAACTAACATCGTCAACAGTCGTAATCGGCATGCCTGTGAAATTCGAGAGCTCTGCAAACAATTGCTTACTATCCTCGTGCAATTTCCGGACTTCCGGCAAGTCGTTTGCTGAAGAGCGCAGTTGTGTATACCTTGGACACATATTCCATATTAACATAAGCTGAAAGATTTATGGGTTATTTACAACAAAAGTAAATTTCAACTATATTGAATTATGTGTGACATATAATCAGTTTGTCTGAGCAAATATTTACAGAAGTGCTTTACCGTGTCGTCTTGACGTTCCTGATAGAACAGCGTAACTGGTTGCCAAGGTAGATCAGATGTGAACATCTGCTTCTTGCTAGGTTTCCACAAAGCAGCGGACTCCAGTTCGCCTGACATTTTCGTACGATCCACATTGGTAGTTTGCAGATAAAATATATCGGGATGATACATCGAGCCTAGAAAACAATTATAACGCCTTCGCAGAAACAATCCTTGATCGTACTGGTTTCTTCTTCCTTCCTAGTTTAATTAATTACAGTTAGTTTGATTCGTAAAACAAATTTGTTTAAAAAGCAAGAGGTATAATATTTACATATATAAAGATTATGCGTTTCGCGGGTTTCCTCCGTGTTCTTGGAATGCCAACGTTTCGTGAATCTTGCAGTCCACTTTATTAAGGCGAAGAGCAGCCTGATACTGAGCTGTTCCTCCAATCCGTTTAAATTGATCAGTCTTCGATAACCGGGAGAATAATTTTCCATATTTTATTTATGTTGTAGCCATTATCTCTATTTAGATTGTTAGAGTGGATTGTTAGGGTGGACACATTTGTACACTTGATGGCCTAAGGTATCGTCAGCTTTCTTAGAGACAAAAACATCTAGGATCAAGAAAATCCGTTCCACAGACTTGCTTGTAAGTTACGACGTAAAATCCCTTTTCACACAAGTTCCAATAAAAGACACATTAAATATAATAAAGGCCTCACATGAAGGCCCCCTCATCAAGAGTACAAAAAACTAACACACAGAGATAGATACCTACCACATGCCGAGTTGCACTAAACCCAACACAAAAACAATCTGCAATCAACTCACTTGTATAGAGCTTTCACCATCTCTGATAAAGGACATTTACAGACAGAACTCCATTTAAAACTAGAAAAACGGACACAACAAAAAGACATAATCCAAACAATCAATAAACATGCAAACAAGACAATGGTCTCTGATACATAACCAGACGAAAGAATCCTATCTATTTTTCCATACGTCAAAAGAACAACAGATCGGATTGGACAGGATATTAAACAAACACAATATCCGAACTATCTTTAAATCACCCGAAAAGATAGGACAAATCTTAAGAAATCCTAAAGATCAAAGACCTCCACTCACCTCCGTAGGAGTATACAAAATACTTTGTTCCTGCAGCAAGTATACATTGGAGAAATCGAGAGAATGGTCAATCTACGGATAAAAGAACACCAATGAATGAACCGTGATGATCAGGCTAAAACACGCTACGCAATCAACATTATCAGAACACAATATCAAAACAGGACATCAAATACTGTTTTACAAAACGATCACAATAACCAACATTACACATTATACTTTTCAAGAAAGTATAGAGAAGAGATACAAAAACACCTTAACAATTTAAATAGAGATAATGGCTACAACATAAATAAAATATGGAAAACCATTCTCCCGGTTATTGAAGACTGACTCCCTCCCCCTCCCCTCATTCACAATTCTCTTCTTTCCCCCACTATTCCAACAAGTAGCATAATATAAAAGGAACAGCCTGGAGGAACAGCTCAGTATCACGCTGCTCCTCGTCCTGATGAACTCAGCAAATTAGAATGGATTGAAATGAATTGAAATGGATTCAAATTTTCAGAAATATTGATTCACGAATGTTAAAATGAATGCTTTTCAATCCTGAATGCATTTTTATTCATTTGTAAGAATTGCATGGAGCATATTTCTATGCCTTTCAATCTAAAAATAATATTAGCTTTTTCTGTGCACAATACACACATTGTGAATACTGTTCAATTCAAAATTTTAAATAGGAAATGCAGTTTTTCAATTCAATTGCATCCAATTGAATCTAATTGAATCCAATTAAATAAAAAAAATAAATATTTTCTATTTAAAATATTCGGAAAAAAATTTCAATTCATTTTAATCTATTCTCGTTTGCTGGAAAGTGGACTGTAAGCTTCACGAAACATTGGCATTCCAAGAATGGATCTAGACACGGAAGAAACCCGCGAAACGCATATTTTTATAAAGAAAGCATTTCTCGTGGAAGACTCAAGAATAATATTTACATATGTTAGCTGACCCCAACCATAGGGCTCCATACTGTCATTGATATGAGGGTCATTTGGGTAGGTATCCACAGGTGCCCTATCTCCATGTCTTATTACCTAAAAACAGGAAGACATATATCATGCAACATTAATTTTATTCTTGAAAGCAAGTCGATAGTAATGATCGATATAGTCATTTTCACAAAGGATATCAATAACTTTTGACTTTGAAGAATCTTTAACTGTTTGATTATTAAATATGTTACACGCGATGAACGACAAAGATAGCGACAAAGATAATGAAATTCAATAAAAACAGAACTAATTTTAGCATCCCGCAGCTCAAAAATCAGTAAAAATTGGGCTACGAATTGATCTATGTCTAATAAATGGTAATGAATCATAATTCAAATTAATACTAATATGGGCTGTTAGGCTTCCCTAGATATTATTCTATGCTAATTAATCTTCTCTTTATTTTAACATTTATAAATCATAATTTATTTTAATATTCAATGCGTTTTTGCATGAAAAATAGCTAATCTGGGGGAAGGGATGCGTTCCCGAGTTGCATATGAAACGCATCATGATGATGAATTATTATATTACTATACAATAATATATGTATATAGCATAATATGTACATTGTATATAATATTATTATATTATATACGATATACATATATTATAATACTATTGTATTATATTCCCATACAGTACAAAATTTGCAGCAATATCGTTGTAAAATCTGTGTAATATTGCTACAACATGCAATGTTGCTATAGAGTATTGCTGTAACTTTTGTGCAATTTTGTGCTGTAGGGCTTGCTATATTGTTATTACATTATATTGTTATTATATTATTTTATAATATATTATTTTTAATTATTAGTTAGAAGTATTTATAACATGACAAATTTTGAAGATTGACTTCCAAATTTAAACACTCGTAATTAAAATGAAATAAACTTTCAAAGCTTCAAGTTATTTGTTTCGACTTCTTCGCTATAATATTCATTTTTCTTCTTTAAAACTTTTTAATGGCTTCTGCACACTGAACACAGAAAAAATGCGACTTGCCGCGCGACAAAATGCGATGTAATAACCAATGGGCGCATTCAAATTGACAAAGCGATTAATCTGCTCGCCGAGTAAATGAACATAATTGGTTCTTACTTTATAGATCCAACCGATCATATTCAATCGCTCGGAAAGCATACCTAGCTGCTTTGCCATCTTAAACTCGCTCATTGAATATGTCAGGAGCTGTAAGCTTATTGCTATCGCGTCACTTTTACCGCGCAATAAGCGTTTCTCGAAAAATATCGCATAAAAAAAGTTAAAGAAATACTATAATATGCGTTACATATATCATAGCATTTCCCTAGTTTTTCATATGCAATACTTTTCAAGAATAAGGGCCCAGTGTGTAGAAGTCATTGTGGTTGTGTTCAGAAGAAAGTTTATTTTGCAACTATTGAAGTTCTTCACGCTGATAGGATTATACTAGATGAAGAATGATTCTATCTTAGTAGATAATCATAAAGAGGTTGTAAAACTGATCTAGTTTCCACCGAGGGTTTAATCCGCATCAGAATGTAAGAACCAACCAACTACAATCGAGTATTCCCCTGTTATAGTTGAATGACAGGGGAATGCTCGACTATAGTTGGCTCTTACATTTTGATCCGAATTAAAGTCCCTCAGTGGGAACTAGGCCACTGTTGTTTTCTGCTGAACACAGCTCAAAAAGGATTTCCGATCCATTTAAGAGTACCACGAATATACGTTCCGAATTACACGTGATCGAAGCGTATAGAACGTGAACGCATTAAACGCACGAACTGCCTCAACTTTAAATAGAAGCAGTCAATGCACTGAAAAGAATGCCTAGTTTACATCATGCACTTGATACATATGCTAATTATATAAGTAACTTTCTATTGAAGTATCTTAATTTCAACGATAAGAGTGTATATACTGTACCGGTCAAAATTATATCACCTTTCGATTTTTAACTTTTGTCAAAATGAATCGAATGCACTCGAATTTATACAGTAGACACTTGGTGGCAGGTGTACTTTATATATAAAGTATAATGAGATTTGACAATGTACATCGTGATTTTTTTTAATTTTTTACTAATTTTCCCAAAATGTATTTTTTTTACTTTTCATAATACAACCGTAGTTTTTACCGTCATGACCTAACTTTAGTAGTTTAATTTACTGTTTTACACATTATGACAAATACTTGTGTTCAAGATATAAATGAACGACAACAGAAAGTCATCGTAAAGAGTCACAAACAAGAACAGACGTACAGAAGAAGCTCGCCTAGCAATTTGGTATCTCCAAATCAACAGACCAAGTTTTTTAAGTGTTGAAAGGTTTAGCGAAGCTATGTTAAGGAGAAGAAGAGTGATCGACGATATTACATTATTTTTTTCATTGATTGCAACATCCTTCACATATCTCGCAGCAACCCACATCATACAGTGCCGGATATTGCTGAGAAAATACGACTTCAGAACAATCTGATCCGTCCGTACAGATCATACGCCATCGCCTGCAAGCCAAAAGAACGTGTAAACAGCGATCCATGAAGAAACTATTATAAGAATTTGAAGGTGTGAGTGGATTTCAACTAAATACAACAATGATCTGATGTCTTCTAGAACGGCAAAAATAAATATTGTTTGATAATGATGGTATAACATTGATTTGTCATTCCAGAAGACGTCAGATCATTGCTGAGTTGTCTAGTTGAGATGTGCTTTGACCCATTTCACTCGCGCCTTCCAATTCTTTGCGGAAATGAATGATTTCTTCACGGGTTGCTGTTCACATAGTCTTCCAGCCTGCAGGTGACGACATATGACCTGTAGACGGATTAAATTGTTCTGAAGTCGATATTCTCTCAATATCCGGCGCTGTACAATGTGGGTTGCTGTGAGATATGTGAAGGATGTTGCGATCAATGAAAAAAGTAATATAATATCGTCGATCACTCTTCTTCTTCTTAACATAGCTTCGCTAGATCTTTCAACGCTTAAGAAACTTGGTCTGTTAATTTGAAGCTGTCAAATTGCTGGGCGAGCTTCTATACGTCCATCTTTGTTTGTGGTTCTTTACGATGACTTTCTGTTGTCGTTCATCTATATCTTGAACACTACGAATATTTGTCATAAAACACTAAATCTATTCTACAAACGCATAATATTATTTGATATTAAGTAATATTTTAGACATATTCTCTTAAAATATTAAATGTAACATTTTAAGAATACTGTACTAAAATTATATAATATTAAATAATATTCTCGAAATATTAATGGAAGGGTATATGTTCACTCCTGATAAATTTAATAGAAATAAACTAATATATTTAATTTTTCAGTTACTACAAACTTAAATCTTTATGGTAAATGTATATTAACATATACATAAATAATCTTTTCAGTTACAGAGAATTTAAACTTTATTCACTAGTATTAAAAATAATACAGCTACAGGATTTACAATATAGCGGCAATCGACACGAGCTTACACTATAACTCCAAATGTACATTAACGCATACGTTAAAAAATGATGACCCCGGTAAAATGTAGCATAAAGCTTTGCGCAGTATTCTAATTAAGTCTCAGATAATTAAGCGTGATTTAGCATATTGAGCAAACTGGTACATTGTATGAATTGTCTTATATTTGACATACGTACATTTGTTGATATCAAAATAGGACATATTATAAATGCAGCAATATGATTGCTCATAAATGCAATCAGTTGACAAAAATAAACGATCGGCAATAGCGGTACGTTATGCTGTCACCAAGATGATAACAACATAACACAATAAGGAATGATTAATCATTCCATCTTGAGCATTATTTAATATGACGGTAACAAAACATATGTCCGAACGATACATCCATTGTTGCGTATACATATATCTTCAAGTTATGAAGTTTTTTTAATTGATGCCATCGCGTAGTTCGTTGCTGCAACAAAATGGCTGCGTTTATCAAATTCAACAGTTGAGCGAGCGGTTTGGTGTATTATTTTGGATTGTCCAATCAGATTTTAGCTCTAGAAGAATACATCAATAGCAGCGAGCATTTATTCAACTGTTGAATCTGCTGAACGCAACCAATGTTATCTCGAAAATCATTCCCGCGAGCATCATGCATCTCCGCCAACAGAGGGCCACGGCGAAGATGCATAATGCTCGCGTTAACTTGTAAATAAGAATTATCCGGGAAAGAATATAAGGAGCGCAGCATTTCGTATGTGAAGTGAGCTCCCAAAGTTGGACTTTAATTAAGAGACACGGTAGTATCAAGTGAATACGCATCAGCGACAGCGCGAGATCGCCTCGTGTTTTTACGCGAGCCAGCAAGTTGCGAACATTCGAGATTATCAGTTTCTCAATAACGGCTGGACCGATCAACTTTTGATTATTAGTTCAATCGACAGCTTAGGTAATTATACAATATAATAAGTGTTTATTTTTCCTCTACGTGCCCTATGAACGGAGATATCGTGATGCGAAATCCGAAATGTCAAATTTTTATGTAAGATTAAGGCACTAGATATGTAAATAGTAAGTATATTCTCATCCGCCATTTTGGTTCCACTTGATTATTGTAGTACGATTTGATCAGTGACAAAAAGGTAAATGTTAATTGAGAAAAGTCCGCTTATCTTAAATTTTGATAAAAATACATTGAATCGAAGCATTTTCGCGTAAAAATAAAGATTTGACAAGAAAAAACATGTGAACTGTAAGACGAAGGAAGGCTAAGTGGTCTCTACAACATAGATTCACGAGGGAAGAGTTTTTCGAATATAAAAAGATCGAGGCTCAGACTAAAATTAGTTTGAGAGATGAAAAAAAGAAAGCGTTTAAAGCATTCTGCGAAACATTAAATAGGAACAGTAACTGCAAGTATGTGTTTAATAAAGTTAAATCCTTTATATTAATCCTTTATATTAAATCCTAACAAAATCTCCAGACCAGCCTTGCATAGTACGGAAAAGAGTTATCACATGGCGTAAAAATCGTATGATAAAGAAAATACATAATTGCTCATTTAAAAAATTATCCATTTTATTTAAGTACTTTTTCAAGCAACTATATGTTTTCTTTATACAAATTGATTCATCTCATTATTCTGTGCATACAAATATTAAAGTACGATTATAAAAAAATTAATAATTTAAGAATTATTTAGTATTTTATACCAATATGTCAGAATAAAATATAAAATATTTCAATTATTTTATTTATAAACTATTGATTTTTTTATATCTCTACTTTAATATTTTATATACAGAAAAATCTTAAAGAAAATATAATGTATTGAAGGAATATTATGTACTATAATGATATAATGCATATTATGCAAAAAATTATGTAGTTCCAATTAATAAAAACGAAGTTAATCTTGAGACGTTGCCTTTGAAATCTTTAGAGTACTTTCTCATAGATAAAAATGATTATCACCATACGATAGTCGTTTTATTAATACCGTGCAATTTGATTCACTTTCCTCTGAACCTTATAGAAGATATTTAAGGTGGTAATAGTTATTGAGATACTTTGCATAATTAATAACGTCGTAGCATTCTCATGATTATTAATATGAAATTAAATCCTTTTAATTTTCGAAAATGTAAACTTTTAAGAGTTAAAGAAATATAAAAATTATTATATACTATTGACAAAAATTTTGTGTATCTAATATATACATATACACATCATATATACCACTGTGACTAGTCGCAAAGTGTTCTTCTTAGTTTCGTGATGCTGCATGCATTGTGTGTCCGTTTCCGTGTTCGCAATGTTGGAGAACAAAGGTATTGCTAAAATATACAAAATAACATTTCCATTATATGTATACAGGGTGTTTTTAAATTGCCGCATAAAGAGTATAAAACATTATGCTAAAATAAATAAACTTTTTCCTTTAAAAATTGCATCTGACAGGTAATTTTTATAGCAGAATAGATTAAAGTCAACAAATACAAAGTTTCATGTAACATACATACTTGTTAGATTTAATTTGCCACTCAATATAACTATAATATAACACACGTGTTATATTACAATTATATTTGTTGTGAAGGAAATTACAACTAACAGGTATATTTGTGGGATAATTGATAAGTTAAAAGTTAAATAAAAAGTTAAAAAGTAAATAACTTTCAACTTACTCACACAATACGAGTGACTGTTTGTCAACTCATAGTCGACTTTTTCTAATCGGCGTAAAGTTGACTATTTCTAGTTGACTTAAAATCGACAGTTAACTATAAGTCGACAGCAGTCGATTATTTGCTATTAGTTAACTTTTGAAAGTTGACTTTAAGTCAACTGGGAACAGTCGTGACTGATAGTTGACTATGTTTTTAGTCGACTGTAAATCGACTTAAAGGAAAAAAATCTCTGTTCTTTTTAAAAGTTCTTGCATTTCTTGTCTTTTTTTCTGCATAATAAAAAATATATAAAATACATAAAATATTGCAACACTTTTTTTCGATCGAGAGATTGGTTTATATTTATGGATCCATGGCATGTATAAGGCCTGTTCTACAATCAGTCGTATGTCGATGTCGGCTGTTACTAATCGTTTGTATGTTGTATGTCGCACATGAATACGACTTGCTATTCTACAATTGAGTCGTTGATCGAAGTTGGAAGGTTGGAACAAATGTAAAGAATGGATATTGAAACGTTGTATACATATTCAAATTTATTATTAATTTGGACGCAAATTATATGATTGTAGAATAATGCAATTCCACTTGTTTGACGACTACTATGCATTGATTTAATTAGTTTTGTAATATTGAAAAGGATCAAAACGATGATCGAACGTATATTATTCAAGTTATTAAACTTGAATAAATTTATATACACAAATTCACCCAGCGTCAGTTCTTATAGGCATTTCTTAAGTTTGATATAAAAGAATTAAATTACAAAATATTTTTATATTAAATAATAATAATAATATATTATATTAAATTTAACAAATAAAAATTACCTGACATATTTATATCATAACAGTTTCTCAAATTTGTGGATATTTTTTGCCACAGATTTCTTTTTTTGCTAACATTTTTAAAATCCACATTGTATTTATCATACAAGCAATGATTTTCGCGAACAAAATCAATAATTATTTCATCTACATTCAGTAATACCATATAATATAATATAAATATATTCATATATCCGTATAAAAATATCTGTTTATTCATACACAAATGTGTGCGAAGATTATGTTTCATCTAATCGTAATCGGAAAAGATGAGAATTGACCATCTTCTATTCCGACCACGACAGTCGACTTGTGACAAGTTCATTCGACAGCCGACAATCCAATGCGCATGCGTACGTTGCCTGACTCCGATATATGACTGATTGTAGAACGGGCCTAAAAATCAATCTCTATGAGACTGCATTCTGAAACCCATTGAAAAGAAAGTGAATAACTTTTTTTTCCAATTTTTTTTTAAAAAGAAAGTGTTACAATCTTTTAGTCCCTGACTATATCTGCATAATACATTAAAAGGGAGGGTTCTAATAGCGCACACCGTTATATATATAATTGGCCAAATTTAAAATAAAATATTTTTATTGTTAAATAGTAAAAAATTACTAGGCATCAGCCGATGTGAGTGAAGGTGTACTATCGTACTGTGCGCTAACCTTCCCCATTTAAATGATCCGTTATCCCATATAGGAGGATTCGTGCGGATAGTTACAGATATATAGTTATCAATGATCGTCAAGGAACGGGGAACAAAGATACATGAGCAATAAAAATGCTTTTGACTATAATATATTCACTGTACGAGAAGTCGATTAGTTGAATAAGATTCGAATTTTTTAAATTGTCCAGCAAACGTGTGATTATAGCTTAGGTTATCGTGTTAGGTTACCACCCCACAGATCTTAGGTTTAAATCCCACCGACGCGTTTTCAAAAAAATATATATATGCGTATAAATAAACGGCATATCTTAAACGTGATGAGAATATAATGTAAATGTGAGTATATTTTTTATTTTTTATTTTTCATATTTACATTATATAATATTTGCATCATGATATCTGCAATGGGATAAAGTTGGTAAATGAAATTCCTATTAAAAACTATACTTCATACAAAAATTTTGCGGAATTATATCGATTCAAAATGCTTATTGAAAACTTATAGAATTTCTTTCTATAGTTTTCTATTCTGATGCAAAAATAATTGAAGATTATTAATAATCGGTATAACCTCATCCGCAAAATTTTGGTGTGAAGTATAGTTTTTAATAGGGATTTCATTTGCCGTTTAACAACTTTATCCCATTGCAGATACTATGATGTAAATATTATATAATGTAAATATGAAAAATAAAAAATAAAAAATTGTTATACTCACATTTACATTCTCATTACTTTCCTGCTGCATGTGTTTTCAATGAAGGCTATTCTGATATTTTAAGAATAGTGCTGTTGCTAAAAATCAATATTAGCCAGCAATGTAAAATATTCGTCGATAACTACGACGAATGAGTCACGAAAGTGACGAAAGTGAGTCACAAGGCAGTAGCGACGCCAATTAAGCAGTACGAAAAAGGCTCTTACAGCTTACAAACTTCAGCAAATTCAATAAAACGAGTTCATGAGGAAACGGAAAGCTTGCTATATGAACTTGGAATAGCAAATTGGCGATGAGTTTCCAAAAATCATTTGTCCTTTTACTTTTCGATACCGAAAACTCTAAATGCGTTTTTCGAAACCATTTTTTTGAAATTGACAGGAAAGATTACACTATTCATCAATACTCAACAATAACACTATTCATTGGGCCGTTTCCAATTTGGCTTATATAATGTTTTTTTAGTATTTGAAATATAGAATCACGTAGAAAAGAAATTATGTGTCGAATCATTTAAAGTTATGGTGAATCGTTATTTCAGTGAAAATCGAAAAATCTGTAAATTCTCATATAAACCATAAATTAAATGAACAATTTTGATCTTTTATTATTCTTCTTATCGTGATTTTAAGAGAAAGATATTATTTTTTGCTAAAAATTAAGATAAAAATGAAGATGAAAATAATTTAATAAAACATCTGTTTTACTTATCCATTATTTAGTACAAAATTTATATAAAAAATACTTTACATTCAATAAAAAATAACATTTTTCTCTTAAGATCACAATAAGAAGGATAAAAAAAGACCAGAATTGATGTTCATTCAATTTATGGCTTATATAAAGATTTACAGATTTTTCGATTTTTATCGAAAAATAACGATAATTTTGAATGATTTCCTCAGCAGCTTTTCTTTTTTACGTAAATCTTTTCTACGTAATTCTATATTCCAAATATTAAAAAAAAAGCCATATGAGCCAAATTGGAGGCAGCCCAATGAATAGTGTTACTGTTCAGGAACTATTTGACCAATCAATTTCATATTGGATTTTTTAGTTAAATAATTATCAATCAATCCTATATAACTAAAAACATTTGTATAAAAATTAGTTAGTCTAAAAATTAGGGTCAGGATATTCGACAGCTTTTTCTAAAAAGTATTCTCAAAATTGAAGGTAAGTTAATGCTTATATTATTTGTTAATGCTTATATTACATAGACGCTTTTTTAATAATATTGCATGAATATTATACAGTTAAATTGCGATTTATGACTTGTTTGTTGCTATGGAAACTTTGTCATATGACAACATGCAGGTTATGTGGAATACATTGAGAGTTGAGAATATGAAATAAGTTCTCTATTAGCAACTTATTTGTAATTAGGTCAGTTAAATTATATATGTATTCCACACATTATTAGCTTATTTGCGATTATAAGTTATAATAAGTTATATTCCATATTATTTGCTAGCTTATGTCCAGTAATATGCTGTTATATTTTCTGTATTATAGTACAATAAAAATATAAACTATTTTTAACTATTTTTCTTGATTGGTTTATATAAATGAATAAATTTGGACTTCATTTATTGTTATTTGTTACTATTACTTAAATTTCATATTACATCCCATTTTTTTAGACTTCTTTTCATATTTTTTACTTTTTTGTTAATATTGACATTGAAGTTAAATTTTGGCGACTTTCATTTATTGGATGTTATAATTAACTCCTAACTATTCCTCAAGAGTTCTGTGTAAATTTAAAGTCTTCATATGCATTATATCGGAGCAATGTTGTAATTTAGAAAACGCTCCATTCCAAATTTCCTACGTTCAAAATTTGTATTTCAAAATTTTTTATTAAATACAAAATACAAAACATTTCCAAATTTTTTATTTTAAATACAAAGTATTTTTTAATCAAGAGACACGGTAGTGACCGCGCTGCACGAAATTACCCCGTGTCTTTTACGCGAGTCAGCGAATTAAGGGAATCCTAAAGTAAAGCTCGAACTTTGACGAAATCATCAGAAGTCGTGCCGCGCACCGCACATTGGCATGTCTTTTTATACTATTACAGCAATATCTCACGCAACCTATGATACACACAGTCACACGTACGTCAATTTTCGTATAAGAAATTCGCGATAAAAGACGACTTAAAATTCCCTCGGTCCATTTTTTACTGAAAGACGTCTTTAAGGCGTTTTTAAGACGTCTTAGGTTTTGTTCGCGTCGCACGCTCCAACATGCCCAACACGCTCCATACGTTCGCGGAACCAATATGGCGACCAGATGTTCGCGTCACGTTAGAGCATATTCCATGAATCAATTAAGAGCACGTTCCATTTGCCTCAGAAGGTGGTACGATTGCATGTTACGTACACATAATGGTTGAAAACTTACTGTATCGAAAAAAGTA